GACCCCACCTTCTCCCCTCCAATTCCCCGTGAGACATCTCCTCCTGGATGTCTTATAGACACTTGCCATGCAGCATGACAGAAACAGAGGAGTCGAGAAAACGGTCGTGTGTTTAAACACTTTAATAGCAAGTACTTATGGTCCCTGGCCTCCCCCGTCTTGGGCAGTTTTGGGGACTAGATGGGGCTTTTGATGAGGTCTCGCCAGGCTCTGGGATCCAGGCATCACCGCTACTTCCTGGCTGAGGGCATCCCATCATCTCGAGGGTGGGTGTCATCCTCAAAGACGGAGCTGAGGGGGCTGTTGTCCAGCGCCCTCTCCACGTGTTCTGGAGTGATGAGCACCTTGTGGTGGTTGACGGCCTCCTTGCTCGCCAGCTCCAGGACGTTGGCCGTCAGGTACTCCAGAACGCCGGTGAAGAAAACAGACGTGCACCAGCTCAGGCGCTGGACGTCGGGAGCTTCTCGCAGGAGGCGATCCACGCGGCTAACGGGGAACTGCAGCTCAGCTCTCATGGAGCGGGAGAGGGCGTGCTTCTTACGCCTGCGAGTGGGCCGGTGTCTTCTTTCCCCGGACATTGTTGACTAGCTTTTGCCAATCAGACCAGCTGGATCGTCTTGCCGGCCTGGGCCTCTCCAGATACCACTGATTTTTCCTGCCCGCTGTATCCCTGTGCTCCAGCCCCTGATTGGTCAGGGAGCTGCCTTTGTGACAACTCAGACTTTGTGATGTCACTGGTGTCCACTGGGCCCTGAGCAGGACTGGCCTAGAAATGTCCATGATAGGAACCTGGTCTCCCAGGCAACTCAACCTTCCTTTTCAGGGAACTCTAACTTTTCTTCTTGACTCTAACAGTCTAATAACAACAATAAGGAATGAGTGTTCCAATGGAAACATTACCCTATCTTTAGGACACCACTCTGGGTTATCTAATTCTAGCCTTATATTGTCCTTGAGCTCTTAAATCCCTTTGTAATCTGTAGGTCACTGATAAACATGTACAACCTCCAGTAGAGGCTCACTTGTTCCTATCATACAGTAAACAGAGTAATCAAACCAATTTTGCTTCTGTTTACATATTCATTTTAATATTTCCAATCAATATTCCTGTTTCTGTTCGAATGCTCATGTGAACTAGTTATAATATCTGCCAATTTCCTTATGTGATAAAATGTTTTAACATGTTCATATGTATGAGTGTCCTGATTTTGCACTTCTTTAATAATTATTTTTAACTACTTTAGAAGGCACACCCATATGTCCAATTGATTCACCTACCAGAACCAGATAAATTTCAAGGACAAAAAATTGCATGTGTATTTAATGCCTAGGCATGTCTTATCTTGGCTCCCTAACATGAATCCAATGCTTCGATAGCACATTGTTGACTCTTTTTTTATAATTTTTGTTTTCCTCTCTACTAATTTAGTGTTTGTCTTGGTTTTGGCTCATTTACAGCCAACAAGTTATTCCTCACTAACGCTATCCATAGTAAAGAATTTGATTTGTTTTCATTTTTCTTTATTAAGTCCACATACAATAAAATTTACCTTTTTAGCTATTTTTAAGTGTACAAGTCAGTGCTCTTTAATACAGTCACAATGTAGTGAAACTCTCATTTCAAATTCCAAAACAGTTTCTACACCCAAAAGAAATGGCATTCCCATTAAGTAGTCCCCTTCCATGTGCCTCCCTCTCCACCAGCTCCTGGTAAACAACATACTTTCTGTCTCTATGGGTTTTCTTATTGTAAATGTTTAATATACATGGAATCATACAATATGAGACATTTTGTATCTGTCTTTTTCACTTAGCATATTTTTAGGGTTCAGCCACATTATAGCATGTTTTATTTATTCATTCATCAGTTGATAGACATTTGGGTTGTTTCCATTTTTTGGCTACTATGAATAATGTTGCTATGAACATCTGTATACAAGTTTTTGTATTAATACATGGCTTTAATTTTCTTGTGCATATACCTCAAAATGCAATTACTTGGTCATGTAGTGAGAATTTATATTTATGGTCAAACCATTTAGATATATCTCTAAATAGATTGATGATTTGTAGAGATCTAGTCTCCATTGGGTGAGAGACAACACAATCTAATTTGTCAGCATTTTTACTTGTCTACTTTTGAGTTCAAATCAATGAAGAATGTCACCCTTCTCGGAAGAGAGAAGCCATTTGGTATCTGTGCCAGGGAGTTTACTCTTGACTATGGCTGAAATTGTAGAACTGAAGCTATAAGTTCTATTTGTCTGTGTCTGCATGTGTATGTGTCTGTAATTCAGGAATGCTTTCATCTATGATTGTGAGAGTATGTAATATTTTCCTACCTCCATATGGTATTAATATATTAGATTATAAAGTCTCTGAAATTAAAGGGGCTCTGTTCTTATTGGCATATTTAGATATAATTGTTTACATAAATTGAATATTCCCAAAATTCCCTGAAAGCAAGGTAATTGAATTCCTGACTCTTTAAATGCACTCTGTGAAAATAAATATAATTCCATTTTCTTTCAGAAACTAACCCAGATCCATTTTAAGAATTTAAATTCATAATAGTGAAGATACCAACATATAAATATAAAACTGAGAAAATTAGTTTATAAGTTAGCCTATTTCTTTTTCTTCTTCTTCTTCTTCTTCTTCTTCTTCTTCTTCTTCTTCTTCTTCTTCTTTTTTGGGGGGAGGGCAACATAGGAAGACCCTGAACACACTCCTCCCATGGACACAACATATTTATATGTGAAATAATTTTCCTCTGTAAAGAACCTGAGAACTAGAGGAACAGCACCTCTACAACAAGAGACAAAAGAGGCCCTGAGAAGCAGACACAGCCTCTCCAGGTACCCCACCCCAGACATGGTGACCCACAAGTATAAGGGATCCCCCCAAAATGAAAGGGATTAGGCCCTATATAAGTTATCCTAACCCTGGAGGCTGGCACCAAAAAGATGAGTCCCCAAAATGTGGGGTTTAGAATAACAAGGGGGATTAAAACCAGGAGAATCAGAACTGTAGGGAACTGAGAAACCTCTCTTAAAGGGCTCACACAAAAACCCCCTCTCCCCGAGATCTACTATAAATACAACAGTTTGAAAAGCACCTAGATCATAAGTGAGAGAGACTCACTTACTAACTTTAAAGCAGCTGCCAGAGAGACAGGAACCTGCAGGGACTTTTTCTGGGAATGGAAATGCTGGCAGACGTCATTTATGTAATCTCATCCTAACCTGCTGGTGATGGAGATGACAAGCACCATTTTTAAAGCTCTCCAACTATCCCACTAGCATTGGAGGGCATGCTCCATTACCCCAATACCTTAATCAGGCTGGGTTACTACCCCTAACTCCACCCACCCCACACTGGACCCAAGCTACAACTGGCTGGGTTTGTGTTTCAGCCCCACCCACCTGTGCAGAGACTAAGCCACAGCCAGAAAGGGAGAGCATCCTGAGCACCATCCTCCTCACACAGTGGTCAATTTGAAACAGGTTGCCTGGCAAGTGCCCTGGGGCCTTCTCTCCCATGCAACAACGTGACACTACCACAACCCACAGACACATGCAGCACACATGAAGAATGCCCATAAAGTGCCTGGCTTTGGTCGACAGGGGAGAATGTAGTTCTGGGGTACACAGAACAGCTCCCACACAATATTGCTGCTTCAAGACTGAGGGAAGTAGATGTTTCACCTACCACATATAGTCAAATGCAGAGACACAGGCAAAATGAAAAAAATAGAAATATGTTCCAAACCTAAGAAGAAAATAAATCCCCAGAAAAAGACCTGAATGAAACACAGATAAGCAACCTACCTGATAAAGTGTTGAAAGTAATGGTCATAAAGATGCTCACTGATATCAGAGGAATGGACAAACACAGTGAAATCTTCAACAAAGAGAGAGAAAATATAAGAAAGTACCAAACAGAAGTTGTAACTACACTGAAAAATACACTAAAGGGGTTCAACAGTAAATGAATGAAATGGAAGCACGAATCAGCAAGCTGAAAGACAAAGCAATGGAAAACACCCAGACTGAACAGCAAAATGGAAAGAATTAAAAGGAGCAAGGATACCTTAAGGGACCTTTGGGACAATATCAAGCAAAATAACATTCACATTATAGGGATCCCAGAGGAAAAGAGAAAAAGCCAAAAAAAATTATTTGAAGAAATAATGGCTATAAACTTCCTCACTCTAGGAAAGACGTAAAAATCCAGGTGCAGGAAGCCTAGAGAGTTTCAAATAAGATGACCCGAAGAGAAATACATTGAGACATATTATAATTAAAATGGTGAAATTTATGGATAAAGAGAAAATTTTAAAAGCAACAGGAGAAAAAAACTTATTACATACAAAGAAAACCCCATAAGGCAACCAGCAGATTTTTTTTTTCAGCAGAGACCTTACAGGACAGAAGGGAGTGGCATGACACATTTAAAGTGCTGAAAGGAAATAATTTCCAACAAAAGATTCTCTACTAGGTGAGGTAATATCTCAAAATTGAAGGAGAGATTAAGAGTTTCCCAGATAAGCAAAAGCTAAAGGAATTCATCAGCACAAAAGCAGCCTTACAAAAAATGTTAAAGGGACTTGTCTAAGCTAAAAAGAAAAGGTATCGATTAATAAGAAGAAAACATACTAAAAGTAAAAATCACACCGGAGAAGTGTAATAAAAACAAAGGTAATGGATCAATTACTTATAAAGTATGAAGGGTAAAAAAGACAAAAGTAGCAAAATTAATTCAAAATACTGTAATTAGTTAAGGAATACATAAAATAATAAGATGCAAAATGTGTCAATAAAAATATAAAATTTACAGGGAGGACTAAAAATATAAAGCTTTGAAATGTGTTCAGATTTAAGGTACTATCGACGTAAAACAGACTGTTATATATATGGGATGTTATCTGTGAATCTCACAGTAACTACAAAGACTAAACTTATAGTAAATACACAAAAGAAAATGACAAGGAAACCTAAACATAACACTAAAGAAAGCCATCAAACCACCAGGGAAGAGAAAAGAAGAAATGAAGAGAGAAGAACTAAAAAAGAAAAAGTCAAAAAAAAAAATTACCAAATTGGCAATGAGCACATAACTATCAATAATTACTTTAAAAGTAAATGGACTAAATTCTCCAGTCAAAAGACATAAAGTGGCTGAATGTATAAAAAATGATGTCTCATATATATGCTGCCTCCAAGAGACTCACCTCAAACTTAAAGACACAAACAGACAGAAAATAAAGGAGTGGAAAAAGATATAACACAAATAGAAATGAAAAGGAATCTGGGGTAGCAATACTTACATCGGACAAACTGGATTTTAAAACAAAGACTAACAAGAGACAAAGACAAACATTACATATTGATAAAGGGGTCAATCCAACAAGAGGATATAATATTTGTAAATATTAGTGTACCAAAATAGGAGTATCTAAATATATAAAGCAAATATTAACAGAAACAAAGAGAGAAATTGACAGCAATACAATAACAGTAGAGGACTTTAATACCTCACTTACATCAATAGATACACTGAGATAGAAAATTAATTT